CATGCAGATGTGAGTAGATAAATCGGTAGCCAATTCAGTGGGAAAATACTAAGGACATCCCCTTGGATGTTCCCTGGCAACGGTGATGTCACCATCTAATTCTTTCAACCTGGAAGTGCCTTGGTAGCTACTTCCGACGTGAATGTAGTAGTAGTAGCTGACTGGGATGCAGGTCTTAGAGACCAGCTCTCTCAAACTTGTAGCGGCCACCTTGTCTCTGTTGTTTAGGTCATGGTTATTAAACCCTGAAGCCCAACACTGCCCAACAAGCTGTAAAGTTTACACCAATTGCCCAGTTGTCTCTTAAGGTCAGACCTTTGCTTAGCAGAGAGAGGGACATCACAACTGAAAACACCACAGTTATGCCATGAGGTCTTCTCTGGAGTTATTGTGTAAAGCCAGGGAGGATTCAGGCATATGGACAGAGGATCCCATAATGAAAAGCAAGATAACTTACACACACTTGACTACTGGCTAATTCAATAGTTGTAAGAATGAGAATTCCTTTGTCGTTTTCCTCCCCTTAGAATGAAATCAGAAAGCAAGATCTCTTTCCTCAAAAGCTGGTATTAAAAACATAGCTTACCGGTTTTTGCAGACCGTTTGCAGAACTACCAGTTCAGCCACAAAGCTTGTGCAGTAACCTTGTGCCAACTGCTCTCTCCTGACTTAAGCCTATTGCACAAGCTTGTTAAAAGGATAGATGGGAGAGGGAAGATCTTTACATAGGGCCTAAAAGCCATAAACAATAAACATTTAAAAATCATGGTCTCTTTGTTGAGGAACAATGACTGACCTAAACACATTATTTCCCCTGCTCTCTAATTCTTTCCAATTGATCCAACATTGCAAAAACCTTAAACTTTGGATTGATTTGTTAAACCCTACAGAACAATGTTTCACCTCCTAGAGAATGAAGAAGTCAAAAATAAATGAATAAATACGCTCTCCCTCTGCTTCTATTTTCCCTCCCCTACCTGTTCCCCCCCAAAAAAATAAGTATGAGATCACTGACTTTCATATAGTCAAAAGCTATCCTTGTTTCTTCGTATTTATTCAAAGTGAGCTGTAAATCAAACCCTGGATTGCCATCTCCCTAAGCTATTTGCATGGGGACAAAGTGGGTGCCGGGGGAGAAATAATTCTTTCATCTCAACGTGTTAGATTAAATTAGCATTATTCTTTATTACATTGGTGTTCTCCCCACCTTGGCTTTCAAGTCTGTGATTGCTTTTCTTGCTTGGGATTTGTTGGTACATAATGCCCTATTACCAGCTGTGAGATTTTTCATATCAGACAGTCTGTAACTAGAATACGAGGAAATACATTTGAAAAGTAGAGCGATCGTTTTTTCTAGAGTTAAAACACCAGCTGTCACTGACGTGCCGTTCTCAGAATCAGTGTTCCTGCACGAGGTTCCAAAATTGGGAAGAATAGCCACTAATATTTTTTTAAAAGGTTATGGGTAATCCTCAAAGTACAATCATTTGCTTAGCAACTATTCGAAATTATGATGGCAGTGGAGAAAGTGCCTTAGTACTTTGACTTATGAGTCATGGGGGCACAATGGTTACAATGTAGTATTGCAAGCAAACTCTGCCGACTGCCAGGAGTTCAATTCTGACCGACTCAAGGTTGACTCAGCCTTCCATCCTTCCGAGGTCAGTAAAATGAGGACCCAGATTGTTGGGGGCAAGATGCTGACTCTGTAAACCATTTAGAGAGGGCTGTAAAGCACCATAAAGAGGTATATAAGTCTAAGGGCTATTGTTGTTGCTATTATAACCATCGCAGCATCCTTGACCTCTGTTGTACGGAGGGCAAAGGATGGGAAGTGTAGTTAGGACTTAAAGGTTTCAGAAAGCTAGGTTGTCCTGCTCTCCACCTCCCTTCAGGAAAAAAGAGAAGGGGCGTCCCCATAGTTTTGTGATCCAAATTTAGGTGCTTGGCAAGTAGCATGTACAGTGTTTGTAATGGTCGCATGTCCTGGGGTTACGCAATCACCATTTGCGACTGTTCCAGGTTGCTTCTGTCCTGCAAAATCAATGGGAGAAGCTTGATTCGTTTAAAAACCGTGTTATTGATTTTAGCAACTGCAAGATATTCATTTAACAGCCATGGCAAAAAAAAGTGGTAAAATTGGGTACGACTCACTGACTGCCTTGCCTAATGATGGAAATTCTGTTGTCAGTAGAGCCTGTAAGTTGAGGAGTACCTCCATTGTCTTTGGACAGCATCTCGAAGCATCTCCAAATAACCTCAAGTAATTACCCCACATTGATTACTGTCTTGAGTTCTGCCTCTCATTGAACAAGAAATCAAGCCACCATCGGAAACCACCAGATTTTCCTTTCCTTTTTCCTTTTCTCCTATGGGATCCTTACAATTTCCCACAATGGCTGCAGTTGGTAGTGATGTTAAAGCAGGGGTCCTCAACCTCTGGTCAGTGGACCGGTACTGGGCCACACCATGCCAGCAACTGGGATGCACAAACAAGCAAAGCCCCATCCATGGGATGCAGGCAGCAGACACACTCTCCAGTCTGTGGAAAAACCTCTCTCCACAGAAACGGACCCTGGTGCCCAAAAGGTTGGGGACCTCTATGTTAAAGAAATCCAACACAGCTTTCAATGGGAGGAGGTTTATGAGAATCACCAAAACAGACTTTGCAGCTTTAGCGAATGTTGCACTGAACAAGCTTTTTAAAGTGTCCTTTATTTATAAGAAACGGGTTTGGGAAAGAGCGGATTGTTGAAATTTGCATCCGGAAAAGGGTAGTTTTATTTTAAAGAAGCCGATGCTGAGAACATTTATATGACAAAGGATGGAAGCAGTGAAAGTTGCCTTTCAAAAATATTTATCAGGGTATTTCCATTAACAATATTGAGGGGAAGGTTGTATGCGTCTCCTCCTTTTGTTAGGGAAAACTTGCAGCAAGCATTGGGTAAAGAACAGAAAATTGTCACTTGCAATTTTTAGATTGCAAGTTCTGAAAGCCTTGATTTATTTACTTCCAGACGGGACCAATTGTTACAATTCCCCTATTCCTTTTTTGTCATTTCCAGATTTAGTACATTGCTTCCTTTTGTATCTTTCCTGAGTGTTGCAGGTAGTGTCAACAAAGCAATATCAATATGACTGTAGATACTGTCACTCAAAAGTGTGTGTGTGTGTGTGTGTGTGTGTGTGTGTGTGTGTGTGTGTGTGGTGTTTCACTGATGTGGAAACATGCATTAGAGAAAATGTGGAGTGATCTTCTGGAGGAAAAGTTTTATCAAGAATTCAGAAAGAAAAGGTGCAAAGAAATTGAAATGTTTGAAAGGGGTGGCCTGCGCGCATGATCAATTGTGCATAGAAAGCCAATTTGGTGTAGTGGTTAAGGCAGCAGGCTAGAAATCATGAGACTGTGATTGTCAGGACTGCCATTCTGCTATTCTATGCATTGCCTGTTGACAGCCTGACAAACACAATGGGAGAGGGAGATTGGTGGGGTGGGATAAGGGAAGGGTTAGCATGAGACATCAAAACTTTGCATCATGTCATCCTATGAGAATTGCTGGCCATTCCAAGGTCACACAAAACAATGCAGACCCATCCAGCCCATGAAGACAGGGACTGTTACCCAAACAATTTATTAGTATCTAATTGGACACTCTTTGATAACCAGAGGGATGGATGGGAACAAGGGAAGGTTAACCGTATGCTTTAGGTGTGAAAACCCCAGATCTAGCTTTGCTTCTTCTGTAACCACTTGATTTTAGTAAAGTATATTTTTGGCTAACTGTGGGCTGAGAGTCTTTCTGCTCTAACTGACCAAGTTGGGATGGTTGACAATGAGCTCAAGTTCTGCCTTAGCCATGAAAGCCAGCTGGGTGGCCTTGGGCCAGTCCTTCTTTCTCAGCCCAGCCCATCTCACTGGGTTGTCATTGTAAGAACCATAGGAGGAAGAAGGTGTGTTGAATATGTTTGTCACCTGAAGTTATTTGTAAAAATAATAAAGGTGGAATTCAAAAAGAAAAACAAAATTGTGTATTTTAGAATTTTAGAAATTCCTCTAGTTCAGTTAAAGTTCATGAAAGAATAAAAGCTCAGAGCAGGGGGAAAATGTGCATATAAAGCATAAATATGAATGTATGAAGCCTTTATTTTTAGGGTGACAAAAATGGCAAAGTTTTCAGATGCCTTTTCTTGGTAGGACACTTGATGAAGAAGAATATTTCAGAAGGAAACCTGTTGAGCATGGATCCTGACCACAAATAATATCATGCTAGTCTATACACTCACAAAATGTGTATTATTAGCCTAACAGTTTGTGCTTGTAGGTTCCATAACCCAGAAGGAAGGGGCAAATGATACTAGTATAGTGAAAAGAAAGACCAGGGGTGACAGGATAGCAGTCTTCCAATACTAGAAGGGCTGCCACAAGGAAGAGGGAGTCAAGCTATTCTCCAAAGCACCTGTAGACAGAACAAGAAACAATGGATGGAAACTAACCAAGGAAAGAAACAACCTTGAACTAAGGAGAAAATTCCTAACAGGGAGAACAATTAACCAATGGAACAAATTGGCTTTGGAAGTTGTGGGTGCCCCATCACTGGAAGCTTTTAAGAAGAGCCTTTTAAGAAGAGCTTTTATTTATCAGAAATAGTATAGGTCTCCTGCGAGAGCATCTGGTTGGACTAGATGACCCCCAAAGTCTCTTCCAACTCTGTTACTTTTATGGTTACTGGCTTTTGTAAAGGTCTCCGTACAGGGTGGTCACCTGGAATTAAAATCATACTCGCCATAGGCGACTCTATACAAACCTGAAAAAAAAATGCATTAAGCTGTTGGAATGTTGCAGCCAGACAAACGATGGAGTTAAAGACACACCCTTTCCCTTCTTGTCCCCTGCTTCATCCTTTCACGTCCCCCCCCCCATCCTGCCTCCCTGCTTTTCTTCTCTGTTTTTTATTTTCCTCCTCCCCAATTTCTCCTTGTCTTCACCCATTCACTGTCAGGAAGTGACACATCCGAAGGGCTATTACAGCAGAACGTGGCAGCAGCAGAGACTAACAGCCATGGCAGCTACACCAGTGAGTGGATTTTGACTCGGGGAGTGGATGGTGGGTGGAAGGAATAGATATGTGGTGAGAACAGAGTGGCCGGGAGTTGGGATGGATTAACAGTGAGGCTCTGCATGCTCCAGATTAGGTCCTTGGATACATGGAGAATCCAACAGACTACATTTATTTAGAAATGCTGCTATGATCTGTCTATACACCTCTGCCTCTGTTAAAGAGAACGTTGCTTTCATCTCTGAAACATTATCCGTGTCATTTTGCTCAATCTAAAGGATTACATCCAGAAAAAAATGAGTAGATGCAATTCAGGATTCAAAGTAGTTATCTCTCTCTTCTCTTCTCTTCTCTTCTCTTCTCTTCTCTTCTCTTCTCTTCTCTTCTCTTCTCTTCTCTTCTCTTCTCTTCTCTCTCTCTCTCTCTCTCTCTCTCTCTCTCTCTCTCTCTCTCTCTCTCTCTCACACACACACACACACACACACACACATCTCAGCCTTTTTCTCTTCCTGGCCTGCCCCCTCCGAGTCCTTTTCCTTTTGTAGACCACATTTTTGTGACATTGACCAAGCTACACCATCAAGTATTTCACGATGTCCATTAGAGAAAGTATCAGAAACCACTTGAACAGTTGGATTCAATTCTTGGCATCTCTGCTTAAGTGAAAATACAAAATCGAGTTAAAGGTTGAGGTTGCCCCTGTCCAGTCATACCTGACTTTAGGAGGTGGTGCTAAATCCTAGCTAAGGGAGCCAGCATTGTCCGGAAATACTTCCATGGTCATGTGGCCACACAGAATGCTGCTACTTTCCCACCAAAGTGGTACCTATTTATCTACTCACATTTTGCATGCTTTCACACTGCTAGGTAGGTAGGAGCTGGGGCAAGTGGTGGGAGCTCACCCTGGTGGGCAGTGCTCGGGGCTCAAACCCAGACTGTCAGCTTTCCAACTGACAAGGTTAGCACCTCTAACCACTGAGACCTTGTGCCCCTTTAAACATACAAATCTGGTAGGGATTGGGAAGACAGACCTATGCTTGGGAGCCTTACCAGTCAAAATGGATATGTCTATCCTGCTTAAAGGCAAGTTCATTTTATTCTTAGCCAAACTCTTAACTGTTCTGTGATTCTTATGTTAGTCTTTCTCAGTTTGACCTTGACTAAATGAATTTCTTGTTTCAAATCTCTTGCTTTGTTTAAGGCCCTTTCCTGATGCTTTGATTCATCAAATGTCCACTTCTTTTTTGTTAAAAAAAAATTGTTGCTAATTTTGCAACACTCAACATATTTATGGAGATTCTCAATCATCCAAGTCATGGTTGGAAAAAGGTGCTTTTTTCAAAAGGAAACTGGACTTTTTAGTTTTTTTTTTCTTTGTAAACATTTTGCTTTTCTTTTTTGGATGAGAAATGAAATCTTTTCAAAGAAAAAAACCAAGAAAGTCCAGTGGTCTTTTGGAAAAAGCACCTTTGGGATAACACTCAAAATGTTTACATGTTATGACTCAAAACGTTTACATTTTATGTCTATATTTTCCGTACTTTTTAAATCAAACCTATATTTATTCCAACATGTTTCTTCTACTATAAGATTTCCCAAATTATGAGGTGTAGGTCCATTGGGGAGGTGTTGACAGGATCCAGAAAGGAGTGACAAAGCTTTTAATTACATTTTTGTACTAAATCCACCTTTCCCAACATTTTACTAAATCATTTTCATTCTTCATTTTTTTGGATTTCTAGGGGAAGTATGTTCATTAAAATTTCACTAATGGCAGGTTGATGGCAAAAATATTAGGAACTCCTGCTTTAATATAATGTACTTTTGGGCGATGACAATCACAAACTGCATCTCAGATTTTCAGTAAATTTCATTCTGGGGATAGATTGAGATAAATTTGTAGCAAAATTTGGACCCAGTTGATTTTTTTTTCTCCATTTCTTATTCATACCGGGAAGAAGAAAATAACTTTTCTTGTATTGCTCAGAGAATAAGTAAATGAGCAGAGGAAAAAATGCCATCCTTTTTATTTGGCCTCAGCGATGCCCATTATTTTAATATTCTGATTTAGCTGCTAACTGGAAAAAAAAAAAAGTACAATGAGAAAACCACAAGGGTGGGTTACCAAGATGTATTTCCAAGTGATACCCTCAGAGGACCTTAGCATCTGTTTTCTTGGCTTTCTCATTATTTGATTATCAGTTCTTGCTCACTAACTAGGCTGCTTTGTCACTCAATAAATAAACACTTCAGTTTTTATTAATTCTTTTGGAGATAAGATGCAAAATGTACGCTTTGTCAAACTTCCATTCCTTTGCTGTCTTGCGAATCGCTGTCTACAACTAAGCAGCAATTTTGAAATCAGGTGACCCAGGAGACACATCTATCAGTGTGCAGGGGAGAGGAGGAAAAAAAAAATGAGATTTTTACATATTTGCAAAGAAGTGACTGGAACAGAGATGTATAATGATCTCCGCTATAACTTTTGATTTAAAAAATGGGACATGTCGAATGTATCTGGTCTGCTAACTTGGCACTCATCTGTATCAAACGAGACATTTTTCTAGATTAAGTGCCTGTTTGCATTGTGGAGTGCTGTAGCAAGCCATCCTTTGACAGCACCCAAGCTTGGAAAATGGACTGTGAATTGTTATTTTAAATGTCAGAGAGCTGTATAATACCCTCATGAATATTTTCTAATAAATTATCAGAATATTATTAGACTATAATCTGAAAATAATTGCAGCATTGGCTTCATATATTACAAGTATTATGGGGAAAGCAACACGAGTGGACTTAATGTGCGTAAGAACACGCTCATCATACCAAGAACTTTTAGCTTAGAAAAGATTAACCCCTACAAGAAGATTAGCGGGAACCAGAGAGGTACAATAGAAAGAATAACAGAATGACAGAGTTGGAAGGGACTTTGGAGATCTTCTAGTCCAACCCCCTGCTCAAGAATTTTGGATAAGATCTGGGCTCAAATCTCCACTAAGTCTGGAAGCTAATTTGGTGTTCTTGGGATGATCTTTCTAATAGAGTGGTTGAAAGAGAAAATGTTGATCTTCTCCATGGGAGAAATGGATCCCAAAAGGCAAGGTGACACCAATTGCAATGCAACCATGACCCTTTTCTGTTTGTGCATTTTGACACTGTTACCACTATCTTGAGTTTTTGGATGCCCAGTGCAAATGCCACTGATGAGGGAAATCTTTCAGAGCTACCTTGAATTATTGATTTGATTTGGTCATTTTAATCTCAATGGTCTTGAGAGGAATAAACATGTCGCTGGGAAATGGTTATTTGGTTTATTTTAAAATGAGATGAGCCAGCATGGTGGCCTAGTGGTGAAGATGCTTGCTTCCCACTAGGAAGGTTGAGAGTTCAGATGTTTCTCTCCTAGGGTCCAAAGAGGAAAAAAAAAACTGCTGTGAACTCCATGGGGTGTCAGGAAGGGCATCCAGCCAGTAAATGCTCAGCTCCATCCAGTTGCCTTGACTCTACCCCAACGTAAGGGATTAGAAGGGTTGTAGAAAGTGTGTGAGAGAGACCTGTTCTGTGTTTGGGGGGCTTTTTGCTGATTCTACAGGGGGGGGGGCAGGAAGTTCTCTCCAAATACCACTATCTTGGGTAAAGCTGTAAAGACTATGAAAATGAACACTTAGATGCTAACTGTATCATTAGAATCCTGTACTTCAAGTCTTAGCACTGAAGATGTCAATATCCCCATTACTTTCAAGGGTGTATTTTCCTCCTCCTTTTCTTCTTAAAATTTTAATAAAAGGAAATGTCAGAATTGGACGTGTAAGAACAGATTCCGTTTCTGTAGCTGGAACTCTGTAGTGGGAAGGAAGGGCTTATGCAAACCTTTTCAGAATGGGGAGGGACATTTTAAAAAAAGAGGTAACAGTGGAGTTGTTCCCTCTTTTGCACGCCTGACTAAAAATTTGCCTCTTTCTTGGAGGATGGGATAGCTAAAGGTAAAGGTCTCCCCTGTTTGTTGTGTCCAACTCTAGCAGATGGTGTTCATCTCTGTTTCTTAGCCTAGGGAACCAGCATTGTCCAAAGATGCTTCCGTGGCCATGTGGCCAGCTTGACTATATGCCAAGATGCATGGAATGCTATTACCTTCCTATCAGAGTGGTACCTATTTATCTATTTGCATTGCATGGTTTTGAACTGCTAGCTTGGCAGGAGCTGGGGAAAATAATGAGAATCAACCCATCATGTGTGGTTCAGGTCTGGAACCAGGGCTGTCAGGTTTCCCGCTAACAAGTTCAACATCATTAACCACTGAGCCATCACATCCCCTGAGGATGGGATAATAGTTTAATTATTTGCCAGATAGTTAAATAACCAGCTCTGGAGTTACTTTTGTTCCAGATAGTGCCAGGCTATATCAAAATAGCTTAGTTAACTAGGCTAAGCATGTTGTGTGAGAATAACTACAGGCAGGTTTCTGTACTGCTCCTATCTTTGGGCTTTATAAGATGGCATTAGCCTTTAAAAAAAAAAAAAGCTCTGTCTCTAGGTTTAATATTGATTGCAAAGGAGCCTGTTCTCTGATACTCCAGAGAGATGTCATGGCCCTTGAAAGTTATTAAAATGTCCAAGTGTTGAGCATGTTAAGAACTTAATTACCACTTCTGTTGCTGTGCTTCAATGCCTAGTTGAGGCTATAGTGGTGCAGTCAGAAATATTCAGATATTTACCCTGGAACCATTCGTGGCATTTACCAGGTCACCAGCTACCATTTAATTAGAGCATTACAGGTTTGCCCCTGATAGACTTTGGGAATATCAAAATACAGATCTTATTTCCCATAATATGGGAGAATGAAAATAGGAGAGAAACAAGGAGCAAAGAGAAGTACAATATCTATTGAGACTTGGAAATGTAGTATCTGAAGGAACAACGTGTTTATCAAATAATTTTTAGGATCCTGGCTCCTAAAGGTGGGATTCCTTGCTGAGCTATAGCCGTTGAGCATCAGTCTAAAGTTCCTCCTCCAGTGA